TTGAGTTGAATGAATCTGCTGACCTTATGCACATTTTAAACCTTCATAAACCACAGCAGTTTTTACATTGCTGACAATGTGATAATAGGCATTCATCATCAAAACAATGTGCCTAAAGTCATGTTAGCTGCTGATTGTGAGTGTTTGCAGGACTGTAACATATTATAGAAACAAAATACAAAATAAATGTTCTGCTCTGCTATTTCATTGCAGAGAATGAAATGAAATGAAGGAAATGAAAACTCTGAAGGTGCTTCGATCCACAGGTTACACAAATGTAACACTGGGTTTCACAGTTTGTGAAGAGAGTCTACTTAATAATGCAACAATATCACTACAACTAATGACAGAAGTACTGCATGAGCTATTTGTATGCATGAATCATCCAACAGAAACAGCAAGTCTTATATACATGTTAATCTCCACCTCTGTAACAAATCCTTTGAAATTAGTTCCTAGCTGAGGTGTGAAAATAGGATGTTAGACCGTATGGTGTTTAAATTATTTAAAAAGCAAAAGGTTGCAAATGTAGAGAACGTCTACTCAAACTTGTATGAGGTGCATCATGAGAGAAAAATAAGAATTGAATGGAAATGATTAAAGAATTTAATTAATTTAAATAAAAAAATAATAATTTAAGATCCAGTGTGTAACATTTAGAAGGCTCTTTTGGCTGAAAAAGAATAAGATATTGAAATTGATTTATTTAAATAATGTGCCAAAGAGTTAAATTAGACGAAAATTACAACTAAATCCATCAACAACAGTTGCAGATACAAATGTCTCAAAATGTTTGGAATATTGGTGGAATCCTTTATCATTCGCCCTTGCCCTGTGCTAATGACATAAATAAAGTGCATGGTTTGGTCGTGAAAAAATCTAAAGTACGGGAACAATAAATCAAATGAGTGTGTTGTTTAATAAATAATAAAGCACACATGCAACATTATTATGCCACCATTTTGTTGTTGGAACAAAACTGAACATCATGAAACATGAATTTATTTTGTCATTTTACTTGAGAGATTTTTCAGAGACACGACTTCCCGCTGAAACCCCACAGCAATCGATATCAGACAGTATGTAAACAGTTTTGGAAAGGCAGAGAGATTCCCTACAGCGTGGATTAAAAACCCACAGGTATGTGCTGGGCACAAACACAATGAACAATTCAGAAGCAATTTATAAGAAAACTAACAGTTGTGACGGGTTGTTGTCATTACAATTGGTTTTGACAGGCAGCTGTTGTGCCCTCTTCCTGGTAATGTGTACTGGTACTGAATCTTTTAGTGGCACCGAGTACCGGATGAACCGGCCCCTGTGGTTTTCTGTAAGGTACATATAGAACCTTTAAATATATTAAGCTGTTAACACTTTTGTACTTTTACTTACATTTTGAATGCAGGACTTTTAATGGAGTATTTTAAAACCATGGTATTTATACTTATACTTAAGGTAAGGATTTGAAACCACTTCTGGCCACCTGTCACAAAAAGCAGAACTGCACTGTGAACTCTTCACAGATACTTGGAAATACAAACCAGCACATGGGCTGGATTGCACACTGTACAATTACAACAAGCTATACAGTATAATCACTGACCCAACTTTAGTTTCTGTCAAGGTGATACTGGTAAAATACATCATCAGGCTGCTTATGGGCTGATAGCCAGGAATCTGTCTTCCCTTGAACATTTTAAATAGCTGCAGCTGGGTGTATTAGTGATGAAATAGGTCTTGTGTACAGCTCTGGGACCTGCCATGACTATGTGCTAAACTGGGCATCCTAATGAAATAAAAAGGCTGCGTGTAACATTGAGTTACCTGTAAAGGCTAGAGCTGTCCCCAGTGAAATAGAATAATGCATTTAATGTGTTTTGGCTGTATGAGAAAATGTATTTCTCCCAGACTCCCACATCAACACAAGGATGGAGGGAAGGAGAGAAAGAAGGGAGGAGAGAACAAAGAAGAAAATAAAAAACAAACATGTTTGGAAACAGGAAACAGGAGAGAGGGAAGGAAGAGGACAAACAACCAATAGAATATAGGGGAAAGAAAATAGTCAAGGGAGGAAGGGAGAGGGAGGAGGTAGAAAACAGAAAACACAGTGCTTGCAAATCACGAATTAAAAGCATTCTACACAGCAAACCATATCCCAGAGGATATATGGGCCTTTCAGCATAATAACCTTATTTGGAGCAAGTAGAAGAGACAACCTCTCCTTGGCCTCCTGCCATCATTTACAACAGCAGTTAAGGATGTAAAAATAAAAATACAAGAGGAACATTAACTGTAATGTCATTCTGAGTTAACTATAAGCATGTCTATCCCTACCATACCCTGCATCAAAAGCTACACACGATGACAGTAAAGACTGTGCACTTAACAAAGTATGCACACTTTAAGTTTGAAAAAGTATTCATAGCCAAGGCCCTGCAATCAAATAGATGATTTCAACAATAGCAAATATATAGAATCATCCACAAGGATCCAAAGTATACAGTAAAAGACATGCGGATTGGATTATAGTGGTCATGAATTTTTCTTCCATTCAAGAGTTACTGTGTACCTGCAGTAGATGAATGTGGCAGCAGTTACAGGAAAATTAATTTTTTTTTCTAAAAATAATGAAAAACCTGTTTCAGGCTCATTCAAATATTGTTACACATACAGCTTGGTAAGGAGTGGATGAAATTTGCAGGGGTAGGTTTATAAAAAAATAAAACGTGCCCCATGGCGTTTTCTTGTAAACAAAAAAAGTTTCTGTTTATATTCAGTGTTTTCTGTGTATCGTTGTGGTCTAACCAACATATTGAATATATTTGCATCCATGTTTACTTGCTAACAGTTTTCTTTTGCTAGGCACATTGCTGTGTTTCTTGTTGCATTACATGCATGCACGTGTGCAAACACCACAGGGCCTCACTTATAAAAACATTGCTCCGTAGCACTACCAGGGCCTTTAATTATTCGCCAAAAACAGTAAGGTGTTCCCTAGCTCATGGCCTAACTTCCTCTGCACAAATATTAAAATACCAGTAGTCTAATAATCTATATTTAAAGAATCTACCCAAAATAAAAGCTGTATTTAGCACAGGTACATTGCAGTATAGCATTATTGTGGTAAGTATCACATATTACTGTTATACAACATAACTGTTTTTATATATTCTTCTCCAGTGCAGTAAACATTCTAAGTTATTTCACCTCCCTCACATTTCAATTCGTCAAGGTATTTTTGTGCTCTCTGGATGTGTGTGTTTGTGTGTTAGGATAAGCATTGTGCTATAGCAGGCAGCCAGCTGTCAACAGGGTGGAGTTAAAAGGCCTGAGGGATTTGAACACTCCCGTCCTGCCAAGCTCACTGTCTGCCTAGACAATGGGCTTTTTCCCTCTCCTTCACCATCCCTCCATCCTTCTTCCTCCCTACCTTTGCTAAAAATCTCAGTAGACAGGAAAGCTCCTCCTACTCCTCCTCCACTTCTGTCAGTGCATGTCCATTCTCTCGTTCTTTATCTCCTTCTGCCTCTTTTGGCCATTATCTCACCTCCTCTATTCTCTCCATCGAGGAGAATCCACCCACCTTCCCTCCTGCAGAGCAACCCCACTGCCATCAATCAGCTCCTATTCTCCTCTAGGGGGAGATTGGTATCAGCACCCTCCTCCTTTTCTTTCCTCACTGTCTCCTCCATCCAGCCTTTACACTTTCTCTCCACCTTTATCTCTCTTCCTGTGACATCCCCTCTTTCTGGCTCTCTACCTTTGTCTTCCTCTCAGGCCCTCAGTATTTAATCTCAATTTTTTTTTTTAAACTTAGACATTAGTCAAATAGTGTATGCTCTGACCTACAAGCTTCTGATTAAAAAAGCATTATGTGAGTAAACACAGAACTCACACCTTAGAATAGATGTGCTATTGTGTTTACTTTGTGTACTTTGTTTAGTTTTCTGGGTTGTAACACCCCCACAAGCAATTTACACAGTGTATTGTGCTTGATAGGGAAGTAAAAGTGACCATGAAATGTGTTTTTGCCTGAAAGATTTAGTTCAACCACAAATAAGGCACTGAAAAACAAGGTTGTGTTTTGAACTACCTTTACACAAAAAAGGTAAAAAACAAAGTTGTGATCAAACAGTTTCAGATATGACAACCACAAAAAAACGGCACAGTTAAGAGCTTCGTAAATTTAAAAAACTTTTTTACCTCTGAAATATGAAGATATTAGACAAATGAACAGGTTCATAATAACTCTAGTCTGAATATCTTTGTGCGAACATTGAATTTTATAAATGGTAAAATATGAAAAAAAACAACCATAAAATGCGTCTAGACCAGTTAGGGATTAACTGCTTTAATAGCTATCCAAAAGTAAGACACAGTGCACTGGAAAGCCTATATGGATTTCTATGAGCATAAGTATGGTGTTGCATCATCTGAGTCTAAATTTAGACATGAAAACATTATATGAAGAGCCAAGCCTTTCTGAAGATTTCCTCTGCAAACAACTTGCAGGGAACTGTAAACTCACAGCTTCTCCTTTGTGCTGCCATAAAAGACAAATACACTCTTCCACCCTGTGGAGCTCTCAGACGTGGCCCCCGTCTATCTCAGTGACAGCTAAATGGCTTTTTAATTAAAGGAGAATTAGTCCGGTTAAACTGTAATTTAATGCAAATATGAAGTCGTAATGACAGTCAGTGAATCATCAATGAAGACGAGGCAGCTGAACAAAAGCCATGTAATTCACCCAGAGACTCTGTAATGTACAGTTTCACACCAGATAAGTCCTGAAGACGAGACTGGATTTACAGCCGCAGCAAATTCTGAGAGACCACTGGAGTAATCCACCAGCTCTAAAGACAAAGCAGTAACTCACCCAGCCTGTCAGGCATACACAAGTATAGAAATCTCACATGACTTCACAATTAACAAAGTTGCAGTGATGGCAGTGAGGTTCTCCCCTCACTCTGATCACATCAAAAAGGATGACTTGAAGCTCTCTATGAGGTTTCGTAATAGATAATAAGTATTGTGTCCTGTTTGCTGGCATACTCACGTGTACAAGCCATAGTTGGAGGATCTTTCTCAGCCCTGAAGAAGCCCTTCTCACAGCGGCAGATAGCAGAACCTTCTCCATAGCTGAAACTATGTGGAGGGCACTTTGAGCACTTGATGTTTCCAGCATACGCCTTGTAGAAGCCTGGGTGGCATGCTGGGGGTGACAGAGAGACAATGTGACAAGATATGAGAGCAAAACCAGGACATGTCATGGGTGCACAGGTAAAAATATCAGACAACACATATCCTTATAATGTTTCCCAATGCATGAGGACCCATTGAGACACATCTATAGCAGCCATACCTATAACATCAGTCTTCAAGAGGCAATGGAGTTGCCTGATTTCTCTCAATAATCATCATGAATTTAGTTTTATCAGTTATCAGACATGCATATCTCATGACATGAACCGATTCATGACAATAACAATAATATGGAAATTGATGCAGCAAGGTTTCCTTACATAATTAAACCATCTGCTCTGGTTTTGGGAACTTTTACTCTACCTGTACATCTTTTAAAAGCAAATTATTCTAAAGATTGAATACATTTTTAACAAAACAAAGGAAGCTGAGCATTCACATATATCACCTGTTACACCTGCCTAAGGGTTTTTTTTTTGTAGTTTTTTTTAGACCCCTATAGGGTATTACCTTTACTGTAGTTCATTGGTTGATCCATATAAAAACCCAATAGACTTTGTTGGGAGGCAGTCTTATAGATCAGTTTCTTTTGTTAAATGTGGGTTTCCATTCTTCAAAGACATCAACAGAAAAACATCACAATGTCAGAGAAATCCGAGAGAAAACACATTGCTAACAGAATTGGACTTAAATAAAGAGGTGCAAATATTTAATGTATGTCAAAAATGTTGTATAACATGTAAATGTTGTAAACTGCAAAATCTCAATAGTATGCCTACCAAAGACACAGTGAAATAATCCTTTTTCTCAAATGGCATTTTAACAGTTCACAGTAGGAAAAGCTCTAGCGCAAAGGGACTTAAACTGAACAGTTGCTAATGTATGCATGTCACAAGTAACTGTGCTTTTTCTGCTTTGACAAGACATATTATTAAAGAAAAGATAAATGTGTAAGTGTGACATTAAAAATACCAATAAATCTGTCAGGATCTGTGCCACTGTGAATGAAGCAGTCTGCCACATAGAGGATAGATACGCTTAACTAGTGAAAGGGAAAATGTGTAGGTATACCTTGGGTCTGTCAAAAATCTACTGTACCAACAGTAATGAAAACATAAAACACATTTAAACGGGAAGAATTGAACTCACTCTCATAGCATGCAATTGCGTAGTGTTCCTCATTAACAATAGAGACCACATGCTGAAATGAAGTGTGAGGAACTAGAAATATAATTTTCTACAAAGAAGCCATACTGGCCTGACATTGGTAAGCATAGTCTTTGTCACACTAGGCTACATAACTGGAAGTTGTCAGATCTCTGTACTGTTCACACTATGCATCTATATAATTGGGAGTCTTGTGGTTTTCACACAACTTGACTGATCAGCCAGCTTCAGTAATCAATACAGACATTATTAAACAATTAGTAAACTAATAACTAACAATGCTCAACGTCAGACAACCGTACCATACTTTAACAGTTAGCTAGTGTTTCTGTAGTGTGGACAAAACATTAAGAAATTTACAAATTAGCAGTTTGGGTTAAACTAAAAGCTCCCTTTGCCAAACTCCCTTTAAGGAATATTTTATTTTAACAATTCCTTGTAGCAATACATAGCTTTAGAAACACAAGCTAAAGTGTGTCATATATAGACAATCTTATTGTCAATTCGGCATCAATAAAAGGGGGGAGGGGATGACTTGCAGCAAGGGGCCACAGGTTAGATTCGAACAACTGGCCGCTTCATCAAGGACTTTAGTACATGGGGTGCCAGCTCTACCAGTTCAAACATACTGTCGGGGAGTCAGAAAGAGTCAATTGTGAATCATTAACAGAACAATGAACTAATTAGAAATAACATAAAAGGAACATGAGGACATATTAAAAACAACAACTGTAAAGATACTGTATCAAACAAACTTTAAGCTAGAACATAATGTTGAGGCTTTGTTTGTATCTTCTTCTTCTTTGTATCTGTCTTTTGCATGGTCTTCAACCAATGTTCTTTAGACAAGCTCTCAGTTTTTGGGCAGTTTATTTTGCCCTTGTATTGGTTGTGGCCAGTTTCTGAAGTGCGAAAGATAAACTTTATTTAGTACAAAATTAAAATTTGTTCACCTCAACGTTCAAAGCCTCCTTTGTAGTTGTGGTCTTTCAGTGGGAGAAGAACTGGGAATGAGAGGCGGACCATTACAATAAGAATTCTCACTAAAATAAGTGCTGGTTTGTGGATGACATACATGCCGAACTGAACACTGACTCATAACACTGTTAATTCACAGTCTATTATGTGTGTGTGTGACAGTATATGATGAGGTTTTTTGGGGGGGCTGTTAGCAAAGTAACTATCCGCTTTGCCGCTTCCTGTCAGGTGCTGGAGAAAAGCCATGTTTTGCTCTCACTTGTAAGATCAGACACGACCAAATAGCCTACTAGTGGCTGAATTCCATTCAGCTGCTTCAGTTTCAGGGTCCTGGTTTTGCTCACTATCATACGTCATGACTTACTGGGACACACATGAATAGATCAGAGCCATTGCAAATGATATTAGTAACACCTGTGCTTTTCCAACTAAGAAGTCAAAATGTCTTCTAAAAACGATCTATTCAGAATATCATAAAACGCTGTTTCTGCACTGAGCAAGTAGAAAATAAAACTAATATATAGTAGTATTAAAAGTTACAAGAAACTGGTCTACCTATTCAGCAAAGCCACTAAGAATCTAAGAATTGCTTATATAAATATATAAATATAAATATATATATATATATTTCTGTAATTTTAAAAAGAATATGTGTAAAGCTCTAAATCCCTTTTTCCTAACAGAGGGCTTTTAAACACCTTGGTTTGGTGCATGGAAAATGTTGCCAAAATGAGTCTGTTTTTGTTCTAATCCAGCGCTAACTGCTGAACTTATTCCAGCAGCTCTGTGTATGAAAGCGTGTAATGAAGAAGCTTTCTGTTGGTTACACATTCACACAAAACACATGTATTACTATGAAAGTTTTCTGTAATTCACAGAATGAATAGCAAAAGTGTGCCAAGATCGCATGCATTGTGAATTTTGTACTGCCATAGCATAAAAATGTGTAATGTCTCATTTCATATGCTAAAGGAGAAAGGACAGGAAGCACTTCTCTAAACAATTTCTATAGTGTAAATTGAAGTTCTTCAGTGTGGGTTTGATTGATAAATTATGACATGTTTAAAATACTTCAGTGTGAAACATAAACAGACAAACATAATACAGAAAACCAGCTTCCATTAATTAAAAAAAATGGACGATAAGCTTACAAGAGTTAACAAAAGTCTTCACACTAGGGACAGACTGCAACTGCCTTTTAATCGCATTTTCTCAACCTCCAGAGCACTTCCGTGTCACAAAGACGTGCAAAAGTCACCTGCCTGGTGAGATTTCCATTGCTGTTGCTTGTCACCAAGCACATCGATTTAACAAGGTAACACAAGCTGAGCCATTTGAAGGGATTCACCTTGAAGCACCTAGTGCCTTTGTGTGTCTCCATTGCTGCCTGTGATAAATGGAGCTGTAGGGAGGACAAGGAAGCGCCCGAAACCACTACTGCTCTGATCAAATGGGGACAATTAGGACTGAGGCAAAGAGGTTAACACACAGACACACACACTACAGGGGGTCGACGTGATTTTTTTTGGTGTGTTTCAGTTATATATAAAATGCTAAATTTTGAACATTAATGACTTCAATTTAAAAATATTCAGATTGATGTTGGCCTTCAAAAAACATGCATGCATGCAGCATGCGCGCGCGCACACACACACACACACACACACACAGTATCTGTATCAGTATGATAAGTGGCACCCCCATGGCGTACCAAGGCTGCCTCCATCATTAACCTCTGATACCGGCATGTCCTTGAGTCAAAAACCGTCAGTCAACTCTTCCCACCCCACTGGACCCTGTTTTAGACTCTGTCAACCTAATGATGCCTCTGTCCGACCTTCGCTGAACTGAGGGGATGTTCCTTTTCGAACCTCTCAGCGTCCTGCTGCAATCTGTCTGGCCAGGCTCTGTTCCAAGGCCACGTTGGTGCTGTACAATGGCTGGTCATGCATCACCCCAGGAACGACACACACATGGTGGCAAGGAGGTTAGCACACACATGCTGGTATGCGCACACACACCAGTGACACATGGCAACAGCAGTGACAAACAGCAAGTTGAACTAAACTAGACAGCTTGTCAGATTTTGACTGGAAAAAAGACAAGCATGTCCTTAATGCTTAAGTCTTCATTGCTGATCCATCAAGAACAACAATTTTCTCCTTATTTAAAATCATGGAAGCATTTATATGTAGTGTGTGATTACTGCGGCAGTAATAAAAATACACCTCTATTATTTCCCCAGTTAAGGTGTCTGATCCATACAGATGAAAAAGACTTGGTATTGGAAAAAGTTTGCACGTTAGGCTGCTGGTGGTCTGGTAACGAGTGAGTATGACAGTCAAAACAAAATAGCAAAGCAGAGCAAGACTGAATGTGTGTGTGTTGCATAAGGCTGTGCAAAATGACCAAAATCTCATATCCCGATTTAGATTATTTTATATCCACTAAAAATATCATGATATAGCACATTTTCTGCAAATTCAATGAATAAATTGTGAATATAAAATTACCACATGGAAAGACCTCTTTCTTTACATTTTGATTTATCAACTCAACAAATTAAACTACTGATTATTGTTCTTCTTTTTATTAACTTTTTTCGGTTTTCTGGTCTGTGTCCGACTTTTAATATCCAAACCATGTCCATGTGACAGAAGCAGCCCCTCTTTTAGATATGAGCTCCTCGTTTTGTCTGAGTCCTTCTCCTGTTCAGAATTACTCCAACTCTGTGTCACTTCACTCTCCTCCATTTTTGTTTGTGTTGGCTTCATGAAAATGTTCCAACTGCATCTGTGCCGTGTGGAAGAACACGAAGCGTTGTCCAAATGACAAACAATATTGCAGTGATTTGCGACACAATTA